TTTATCCATTTTAGTATTTTTTTTGTTCTAGTACTCTTGGTTGAACTCTGTAATTAACACACAGTTATTCTTAGGTGTTTAAATTTTAACTGAAAAGTGATCCCTGTTAGGAATTTGGAAAACATTATGCTGAGTGAAATAAGCCAATCCCAAAGGGACAAATATCATATGTTCTCCCTGATCAGTGACAACTAACTGAGCACCAAAAAGGAAACCTGTTAAAGTGAAATGAACACTATGAGAAACGGTGACTTGATCAGCCCTTGCCCTGACTGTTTATGAACAACTGAATACGTTATCCCTCTTAGTATTTTTGTTTGTTTGTTCTACTTAATACTTTTGGTTGAATACTGTAATCAATACACAGTTATTCTTAAGCATTGAAACTTAACTGAAAAGTGATCACTGTTAAATATAAGAGTGGGAATAAGAGAGGGAAGAGATGTGCAATTTGGGACATGCTCAAGCTGACTTGCCCCAAACGGTAGAGTTAGAAACATACCAGGGGATTCCAATTCAATCCCATCAAGGTGGCCTGTACCAATGCCATCTCACTAGTCCCAGTGATCAATTTCTGTCCACAATTGATCATAATGATAGGACTAAGAGCCAAAGGGAGCACATAAACAAGACTAGTGACTGCAAATACTAGCTGATAGAATAAAAAAGGGAGAGAACGATCCAACATGGGAAGCGAGATACACAGCAGACTCATAGAATGGCAGATGTCCTAAACAGCACTCTGGCTTTAGAATCAGCCCTTAAGGCACGCGGATCTGGCTGAAAAGCCCATGAGAGTATTTCAGGCATGGAAAGCCAAGACACTCTGGCAAAAAAAAAAAAAAAAAAAAAAAAAAAAAAAAACCACAACACCTAAATGAAAGATCTCTGCGAGTGAGATCCCAGTGGAAAGAATGGGCCATCAAAGAAGGAGGTACCTTTCTCTGAAGGGAGGAGAGAACTTCCACTTTGACTATGACCTTGTCTAAATATGATCAGAGTCAGTGAACTCAAAAGGCTTCCATAGCCTTGGCAACTCATGACTGGAGCATAGGGTGATTACTGACACCATAAAAAGAGTGTCAATTTGTTAAGTCAACAACAGGAGTCACTGTGCACTTACTCCCCATGTAGGATCTCTGTCCTTTAATGTGCTGTACATTGTGATTTAATGCTATAACTAGTACTCAAACAGTATTTTTCACTTTATGTTTCTATGTGGGTGCAAACTGTTGAAATCTTTACTTAATATATGCTAAACTGATCTGTATATAGAGAGAATTGAAAATGAATCTTGATGTGAATGGAAGGGGAGAGGGAGAGGGAAAGGGGAGGGTTGCTGGTGGGAAGGAAGTTATGGGGGGGGAAGCTATTGTAATCCATAAGCTGTACTTTGGAAATTTATATTCATTAAATAAAAGTTTAAAAAAAAAGAAATATAAACTTTGCCTTTAAAAAAAAAGAAATCAAAGTGAAATAATAGAAATGAAGATTTCAATGTATCAAATTAAAAATGCTGTGGAAAACTTTAACAATAAACTCATTGAGGCAGAAGAAAGAATATCTGAGTTAAAAGACAAATCTCTGGAAATTTCACGGCCAGGCCAAAAGAGGAGAGGAGGAGAAGAAGAAGAAGAAATTATAAAACCAAAAACAGTGTTGGAGATTTATGGGATGCTATCAAAAAACCCAAAATATGGGCTTTATATTATTGGGTTATTATGGAATTAGAAGGCCTTTTTAGTGAAATAATTAAAGAAAATTTTCCACAATTTGGAGAAAGAAAGGATGCCCAAGTACAGGAAGCACATTGAACTCCTAACAGACATGACCAGAAAAAATCTTCACAACAACAACAACAACAAAAAAAAAACTGCCAACTTAGAAACCTCTACCCTGCAAAGCTCCCATTTATGAATGAAGGTGAAATGAAGACCTTCTGTAACAAACAGAAATTGGAAGAATTTGTCACCATTCGTCCAGCCTTAGAAAAGATGCTTAAGGATACTATTGAATGGGGGAAAGCTAGAAGTATTCCCTCTAAGATCCGGAACCAGAAAAGGATGCCCAGTCTCACCATTGCTATTTAATATAGTCCTGGAAGTTTTAGACAGAGCCATGAGGCAAAACAAACAAACAAACAAACAAACACCAAAGGCATACAAATTGGAAAGGAGGAAGTCAAACTATCCCTATTTGCAGATGACATCATTCTATATATAGGGGATCTAAAGGATTCCACTGAGATACTACTGGAACTCATAAAAGAGTTTGGTAAGGTAGTGGTATATAAAATCAACACAGAAAAATTAATAGTCTTCGTATACACAGACAATGCTATGGCTGAGAAAGAGCTTTTAAGATCAGTCCCATTCACAATAGCTCCAAAAAAGAATTAAATACTTTAGAATAAATTTAACCATTTCTGTCAAAGATCTTTACAATGAAAATTATAAAACATTAAAAAAAGAAATATATTGGGGGCTGGCACTGTGGCACAGCGGGTTAAAGCCCTGACCTGAAGCGTCAGCATCCCATATGGGCACTGGTTCTAGTCCCAGCTGCTCCTCTTCTGATCCAGCTCTCTGCTGTGGCCTGGGAAAGCAGTAGAAGATGGCCCAAGTTGTTGGGCCCCTGCACCCACTTGGGAGACCTGTAGGAAGCTCTTGGCTCCTGGCTTCAGGTTGGCACAACTCCAGCCGTTGCAGCCATCTGGGGAGTGAACGAGCAGATGGAAGACCTCTCTCTCTGTCTCTACCTCTCTCCGTAACTCTTTCAAATAAATAAAATAAATATTTAAAAAAAAAGAAAGAAAGAAAAATAGAAAGAAATATGACATTAAAAATGGAAAAATCTTAGATGTTCATGGATTGTAAATGTCCATACTACCAGAAGCAATTTACAGATTCAGTGTGATCCCAATCAAAATACCAATGACATTCTTCACAGATCTAGAAAAAAATGATGCTAAAATTCATATGGAAACACAAGAGACTCTGAATAGCTAAAGCAATCTTATACAAAAAAAAAAAAAAAAAAAAGCCAGAGGCAACTAACTGAATGGAAGAAAATATTTGCAAACTGATAAAGGGTTAACATCTGGAATCCATAAAAAGCTCAAGAAATTCAACCATAACAAAAGAAACAATCCAGTTAAGAAATGGGTAAAGGTCTTGAACAGGCATATTTCCTTTGTTTTGTTTTGTTTTTTAAGATTTATTTATTTATTTGAAAGTCAGAGTTACACAGAGAGAGGAGAGGCAGAGAGAGAGAGAGAGAGAGGTCTTCCATCTGCTGGTTCACTCCCCAACTGGCCGCAACGGCCAGAGCTGCACCAATCCAAAGCCAGGAGCCAGGAGCTTCCTCTGGGTCTCCCATGTGGATGCAGGGGCCCAAGGACTTAGGCCATCTTCTACTGCTTTCCCAGGCCACAGCAGAGAGCTGGATTGGAAGTGGAGCAGCCGAGACTTGAACCAGTGCTCGTATGGGATGCTGGTGCTTCAGGCTAGGGCATTAACCCGCTGCACCACAGTGCCAGCCCCTGAACAGGCATTTTTCAAGAGAGAAAATTCATATGGCCAACAGACATTTTAGAAAATGCTCAGGATCACTAGCCATCAGGGAAATGCAAATCTAAACCATATGAGATTTCTCCTTACTCCAGTTAGAATGGCTCTCATAAGGGCTGACACTGTGGCGTAGCAGGTAAAGCCACCGTCTCCAGTGCTGGTAGCTGCTCCACTTCCAATCCAGCTCTCTGCTGTGGCCTGGGAAAGCAGTAGAAGATGGCCTGAGTGCTGGGGCCTCTGAACTCACATGGGAGACCCAGTAGAAGCTCCTGGCTTCTGTCTTCAGATGGGTGCAGCCCTGGCTATTGCAGCCAATTTGGGAGTTAACTAGTGAATAGCAGATCTCTCTCTCTCTCTCTCTCTCTGCCTCTCCTTCTGTCTCTGTGTAATTCCAACTTTCAAGTAAAATAAATTTGAAAAATAAGTTAACTTTAAAAAAAAGAATGGGTCTCATACAGCAATCAAAAAACAACAAATGCTGTCAAGGATGTGGGAAAAAAGATACCCTAATCCACTATTGGTGGGAATGTAAAATGTGTAGCCACAGTGGATTTAGAATGGAGATACCTCAAAAATCTGAATATAGACCTACCATATGTTCCAGCCATCCCACTCCTGGAAATTTACCCAAACCAAAAGAAATCAGGTATCTGTGCCCCCATGTTCATTATAACACAATTCACAATAGCTAAGATATGGAATCAACCCAGATGTCCATCAATTGTTGACTGGATAAAGAAATTATTTTATATTTATGCTATGGAATACTACTCAGCTGTAAAAAAAAATGAAATCCTGTCCTTTGCAACAAGATGGATGCAACTGGAAACCATTATACTTAGTGAAATAAACCAGTCCCCAAAAGACAGATATATATTTTCACTATTCTGAGGTAACTAATAGAGTATCTAAAATGTTGTAGTGAAATGGAGATTTTGAGATTCAATGATTATTTATAGTCCTTGTCTCTTCTGTTGCAGAACAGTGTTTTTTTTTCTTCATACTATTTTTTGAACTCTTTTACTTAGTGTAGTGTTAACTATACAACCATTAAGTAAACTGAAAATAGATTTCTGTAAACATTAAGAATGGGATTGAGAGAGGAAGGAGAAAGAAGGGTTGGCGAATGTATGGGAGGGAGGGTAGGATTGGAAGTCTCACTACATTCTTGAATTTGAATATATGAAAGACATGAAACTTGTATAACTTAAATAAAATTTTAAAAATTCAAAGGAGAAAAAAATAAAATGGTGCTATAAGAAAAAATATTTATTATGTCATTACCCAGAATGATAATTATTTTACTGTGCATACTTGAGAATGTCAGATGTAAATTTCTGCTCTTGGCTTTTTAATAGACTATATGACAGATGTTATAGGACAATTCTTGGGAAAGCTGAACAAACCACATACTCTATAATTTTTTCTTATTTCATTTTTTATTCCAAGAAAGAGACATATCAGAAGACTGGGAATCTGATTTCATATTAGATTCTAATGAAAAGAAATAAATTTTAACTCAGCTAGCTCAGAAGAGTTTATTTCACTAGCATATAGCTCACAATAGCCATGATTGGCAATTAAGTGAAGATATTGCTGCAAAACTACAGATTTGTGTGTGTGAACCTAGCATATTGCTCCTTTATGGTATCTTGAAAATCTTCTTTGCTTTTTCTAAATTTTTCTCATCCATAGGAGGCTTCCTCTGGCTACCAGGCTGCAGAAACTTCTTCACAGTGGGGAGGCTGCTGATTCTGGTTTTCAGGGCCTGCAGTGCACAAATCACAGCCTCAGACAGGAGCAAAGACCACCCCTTAATTAGCACAATCCTGGAAGTCTTACCTCTCCTATATAAAGACCAACTGGGCCCCTTCCATCAGCAGCAGTGCAGAGACTTTGGAAAGGACCCCAAAGAGAATGAAGATGATGGAGAGGAGAGTACAGTTCAGTGACATTTTCCCAATTCAACCGTTAAGACTGTCCATTTCACAGTCCTTCTGCCTTCTTCTGACACATAACCCTACAGAGTTCATGGTTCTTGCCCAATACAATGCAGACTAACGTATCTGTCAGATACCAACCCAGGGAAGTCTCCAAGCAGGGGAATTGAAGATATGGGAAATGGAGTTGGAAATGCAGACAGAAAATACCACATGCTAACCTGAGACCAATCACAACCAATTTCCACACTGAGAAACACCAGCAGAGGTTGTGGAAAGGGGAAGAGAAAGGACAGAGCAGAGAGGAATAGAATCTGACAACTGGAGCTGCCGCTGGGGGAAGGAAATCCCATGGGAAGACACCTGCTCAGATGGACTCAGTGTGCAGACACAAGGACACACCTGGAGTGAAAGAAATCACAGAGAAATCAAGAACACTGAGCACGGGGTGATAGGGAACTAGGGAGAGAGAGGCTGGCCTCTGGGTCTTTGTCCTTGTAAAAGGCAAAATGTCACTCTTGTGTTGACTTCCACCTTCAACTTCCTCGGCATAACAAGAAACTTTTCATACTCAAAACTAGGGCCTGGAAACATATTTTGGAGAATGGGGAAAGGGAAGCGGATTTGAAAGCTCAGAGAGGGCTGAGTCAGAACAATGGCAAAGGGTCCAAGTGTCAGGTTCTGGGCTGCTCTCTGAGGGCTGAGAAGTGGGTCACCTTCAGCAGAGGGAAGCTGGCGATCGCACTGGGGTCGAGCTCTTCCACATTGTAGAGAAGTTCAACCAGGAGAATGTCAGCCTTGCTCAGCCTGTTGCCAACAAGGTAGTCTTGTCCGTGGCTCTTCAACACCTGGTGAATTCGAGGAATCAGATCATGGTCACAGGCACAGTCAGGCTAGGGCCCCCTCCTCTCTCAACCTCTCCAGCCTGACTCTCCCAGCTCTGCTGCCTCCCTAGAGGGGGTGGAGATGCAGACCCTGTCTCATGAGGGAGAGCAAGAAGTGGGCTGTGTGCACTCATGAATTAAATCCCAGGCTCCCCTTTGATTCTCCCACATCCCCGTGGTGTCCACACCACCCACCCTCACTTGCATCTTCTCTATGTGCCAAGGACTCAGTTCTTGCTGCTCCATGTTCCCCCAAGTTTACCCCCCACCCTGAAGGGTGCAGCCTTGACATTTTGGGACCTGTCTCTCCACTTTGTCCTCTCCAGTTCACTCTCCCATACCACAATCTCTTTCCACAGTTCTATGTGTCTGGGATCGAAGTAAACCTTGCTGAACTTGAATCCATCATTCCTCTGCAGCATTGGCTCTGACTCCTACCTTGCACTATTATGATCAGCACCTGAAGTGTTTAGGGGGAACTGTGCTGGTGTCTACAACCCATTTTGAGTACATAAAAAGGAATATGTCTGATGGATAGAAGGATGTAGGGGTGAGCACACAATACAAAGCAGACATAATGAAGATGTCAGTCTTGCTGTCTAGGTAGTGGCTATCTGCATGCTCATTAAATATTTCTTTTTGGAATGTTTGAATTCCACAATATAAATGTTGGGAGAGTAAGTGATGCTTAATAAAATATTTCAGCAATTTGGAAATTACAGTGGATAGAAGAGGATAGATGGTGAGTACCCCTTCCTACTGATAAACCACTGTTGTGTATTTTGGCATATACCCTATCTGATTACATATACATATAGAAATCTGCATAATTATCTGGTAGAAAATTACAAAGCAATACCCAGTGTTATACTGGAGTTTACACTGAAAATTGAGGTTTATGTGGTTCTTTGATTTCATTGTGCATTTGTCTGTCAGCACCACAGGGGCCAGGAGCAGGTATCTGAAGATCTGATTACCATTAATCCCTCACTCCTTGCAGAGGAAGCAATGAATTAACAATTGTTCAGTGAATGAAAGAACAATGCAAGCATTATAAAATGGGTTTTGGGATTTAGCCCTGAATTTGTTTGTAAGCTTTCTGTAACTTTTAGAACCAATCTATGCTTTATGATTGTTTTAACATAATTTCAGGTAGTTTTCATCTTGAAATGTTTTCCTTTCAACTGAGGTAGGTACTACATGTGAAACAGGGGAACTTCATCTCCTTAGTTTGTATGGGCTGTGCCCTCAACTCTGCTAATACCTTTTTTCTTAACATCTTTTCATCTCTCTCCTCCTCGCCATCTCTGTGCCATCGTCCCTGTCTAGACACACATCATCCATCCCTGAAATCTGCAACATTCTCCTGATGGGCAGCTGGCTCATGTCTCCCTCCACACAGTGCCAGATTGCTTGATAATGTGTGGCTCTCATCATACGACTCCTGAATCAATGCCTGTGATTTTCAGCATGATCTAGTCCAATATCTGAGAGTTTCCACAACATATTTTCTAATCATGACCATGAAATTGTTAAATTTCTAGCATACACTATGTCGAACTTTTTCTGAGAAGTTGTTATTTGTATATGAGTGGTGCAATTCTTATTCACAGCACATTTTTATAAAATGCCTTAAAAGATACAGTGCTGTTCAGGTGTTCAGAAACCCACTAGAAATGAAGGTCAATATCCCCAAATGCCCAGGCACTGTTTTTCTATCATCCTTTAAACTGGAGATCCTAAAATGCTGAACAGCTCCACGTACTTTTTCAAAGGCAGGAAAGTAGCGGGTTCTGATTTTCTCTTTGATGAAGTCAACCTTGGCATCTTTTTGCTCTGGGGGACACAGCGGCAGTAATAAGACCAATTCATACAAATCGGCCACACCTTCTGTATACATATCAATCCTGAAAGACACAAACAGCCAAATTGCCAAATGCCTCCTGCCTTAGATTATAGTTTAAAACCTAGTAGAGGGGCCAGCACTGTGACATAGTAGGTTAAGCCTCCACTTGTGTACCAGCATCCCATATGGGTGCCAGTTCAAGTCCTGGCTGCTCCACTTTCAATTCCAGCTCCAAGCTAATGGCCTGGGAAAGCAGTGGAATATGATTCAAGTGCTTGGGCTCCTGCACCCATGTGGGAGACCCAGAAAAAACTCTCGGCTCCTGGTTTCAGATCAGCCCAGCTCTAGCCATTGCAGCCATTTTGGAAGTCAACCAGCAGATGGAAGACCTCTCTCTCTGTCTGTCCCTCTCTCTGTCTATAACTCTGCCTATCAAATAAAATAATCTTTTTTAAAAAAAAAGAGTAGATTTAATGTAGTTCAAAACAAAAACCTAGTAGAGATAGCAGGTGCCATCTGTATTCTGCTTATACACCTTAGGCTCATGTTTATGCCCAATGTTCTGAGTTTTCCTCATTATTTCCCTGTGTCTGTCCATGTGCCCCCACCCTCCACTCTAGTAATGCTTCCATTCTCAACACCTTGCCTTAAGTATCTCCTTTTTTGGTACAATTCTTTGTACAGTTGCAATCAGTGCATATGATGGGAGACACTTTTTCCTTTGTTTCAAACTGTATTACAGTACTTGTCACACAACAGCTTTGTTGTCTTATATTCACTTGTAATAATTGTCATCTCTTTAAAATGTACTGGTAAGGGTAGGTTTCAGCACAGTCACAGAATTCTGCAAACATTGACACTGTCTGATTCCACATTCTCATCACTGAATAAACAAATGTACACCTTGGTAGCCACTCATCATTCTCCCCTTCTTCCAGCCTCAGGCAAGCACTAATATGCTTTCTGTCTAGACTTTTCATTCAAAAGAAAGCATTCAACATGTGGCCTTCTGTGTCTGGTGTCTTTCACATAACAAAAGGTTTCAAAGTTCATCCATGTTACACTATTCCAGCACTTCATGGCCAAATACTATTGCACTGGATGAGAATAGCACATTTTGTTTATCCACTCATCCATGGTTGGGTATTTGGGCAGTTTCTACTTTTTAAATACTATGAACACCACTGCCATGAAGACTTCTGTATGAGTACAGAAGTGAGGATGAATTTTTGTTCTCTTAGAGCCTAGTAGGGGAATTGCTGGGCATGTTTGAGGAACCTCCCATTGTTCCATACAAGATTTTATTTTGAATCACGTACCTCCAATGCAACAGACAGACAATCCCCCAAGATTGGCAGCTACTGAATCACTCTGGCTCATTTAACCCTGTGTTAAATGCTTCCAGGCTGCCTCAGTGTCTTGGGCACCAGCCAATACTAACTCTTGCCAGGATGACTACTACATACAATTCAGGTCACTATCCTTGTAATTTCTGGAAATTAAGAATCAGCTACTTTTAAATCCCTCCTTTCCACCTCCAGACATTCAGACACCCACTGCTTATCCTGATCCCCCTGCCAGAGTTCTGCTCACTCAAGGCCAGACCTACATCACCCCTGTGCTGCCTGCTGATATTAAAACAGAAAATATACCGTACAGGGCTCTCTCTTTCATGTCTTTCCCATACAGGTTGTGTTTGTTGGCAACATAGTTGAGAATGGCTCTGGTCTGCACCAGCTTCATCCCATCAATCTCAACCATGGGCACTTGCTGGTACATCAAACTCCCATCTTTTGAAAGAAGAAAACAAAAATGAGAGTAAATTATCTATGGATCCCACTCTGAAGAGAAAAAAATTGTATTTTGAAATGACTGCAGGTATAAAGCAAAACTACAATGATAACAGGGAAACTTTCAAGTAAAATAGCCTTTTATTTTTAGATTCCTGTAGTACTTTTTTTTTTCTTATCAATCTTCCTTTTACTGCTGAGCCTGCTATTTGATTTATGATGTTTTTATTTCCCATCAAGATACATATCAGGTTCCCTGCATTTCTGTGTTGATTTATCTTCATGGATATTTTAGGAAGAAATTGGGAGGGGCTGCCACAAGGCCACCAGTAGGAAGCCATTTTTAGTGGGAAGTTCTCAGTGCAAGTTTCATTGTGTTCAGGACATTTAAGGTAGGTTCTGAGAGGAGCTTCTGTGTGGTGTTCCTTTCTGTCCTCTTGTGTTATCACTAGCATGTTACCTTCTCTCAAGACAAAAATAAAGACCATTAGGTCATTGTCACACGTACTTCTCCTTTCAACTGGAGCATATCCCTGTGTGTCCTTGGGTGGGAAGGGGAAATCCTCATCTGATTGTAGCTTATCTGTGGTGCAGAAAGCACTAGACAGCATGGAGAAACAAGCAATGATTCCTTTAGCAAATAATCTGAAAGGTCATGGCCCTTTTTAGCTCTGAAAGATTTGTAGACCCACTCAAAGATCCCCACCCTTATATTTAACCACTCTCTGCCTCTCCACCATTCCCACTACCTTTCTACAAATGCAGGCATTGCCTGCTGTTAAAACCTTACACCCAACAACGTCATCTAAGTCATTTAGATATTTGTTCTTACCATTTCTTAACTTGTCCAAATCCTCTGCAGTTTCCATAAATTTCTCATCAAACTAAAAGCAGAAACAGTAAATGAGTTATTGTTAGTTTATTTCTTAGCATTATAGGTTCTTAAATTTGAATGACCCCCATCTGGTACATAATATAAGGTAAGATTTCTGAGTTTGACAGGTTCACAGAGTCTGGTCATGTCCGTGGTTCACTTCACCTCCACGTTGACCCTGTCATAATCCGTGACCAGCTCATGACTTGGGCATCAGGGAGTTACTGCAGGGAGTGGTCTGGGAAGCTCTTCAGTTGTACAGTAGCCATATCTCAATGAAGTCCATGTCCTCAGGTGAGATCAGAAGAGAACCCATGTGTCCCCTGTGTAGGATGTGCCATAGGCCAATGATCTTCTATATCTCTACCACTCGGGGGCTTCTGTTGTAATTTACATCCCTCCTTTCTTTTTCATAGTTTACAAAGAGTTCTTAATCATGAATAGGTTGAGCTTTTTCTAACTTGCTTGTGGGATAGTTTGTTGTTGGTCCTATGATTACATAGGATCAGACTCAAGAGACAGGAAGGTGGTGTATACCAGCAATTTACAAAGCATCCAATTCACAAAAACATAAGGGATGGAGTGGTAGTCACAGGAGGGTGGCTGAGGTGGGATGGGCTTGTGAGTGTAATGTTGCTTGTGAGACTATTGGTGATGGGTGGGCTGGTAATGATCAGCCTTTGGACACAGGGAACCCTCAACTTCTAAGAAAGGGGTGCAGTCAGTCCTGGTCCACCACTCTGTTTTATCAGGCTGCAATGGAGAAGAAGCTGTGTTCTGTGGGCATTACCCCATCACCTCCTCCTGTGATGAGCTCATCCTGACCAGGGTCTCTGAACACATCCCTATATCACAAAGCTGAAGTCTGGGCAAGAGTAAAAGCGCACCACTTATTTATAGAAATTAAACAACATAGCATGGACTCCCTGGGTTTTATGAACCTATTTCTTCATACAATTCAGAAAATATCATATTTAAGTCCCATGCATTTATTAAGCAATTATGAAAGTACAATTCCAAGACTTGGGTAGACACGTGGCTCTAAGGCTGAAGAGAGTGCACCAGAAGTTCCTTTCACAGGACTACACCTTCCCTGAAACACTCCTTTTCTATTCCATCATAAGGGACAAGATCTGAGACTATGCATGACTGGTTGGCCAGGAAAACCCTCACCCAGTTGCCCAGTCCCTCTGGTCTGGACTGAGAAGTGCTTTTCTCAGTAGCGCCTGTAGAGGGCAGCATTCAGCAGCCACTCAGAAATTGGTCCGCATTCCCTGTTCAATCACTGAGAAGAATGGACTTTTTACACTGTAATATGCTTCAGTGTGGATGTTTCCAGGCCTTATCTTAATCACCTACTCACTTGTATGCATCCTGAAAGATGTGTAGCCTGCCCAAGAGCAGGGACCATATCTGTCTTGTTCGCTATGTATCACCAGTCCCTAACACAGAACATGGTACTTGCAAACTCAGAGCTGAGTAACTGGGTTCCATTGTTAACAGGCAATTTGCTGCAATTCATTCCCTCCTGTCTCTCATTTGTGATATGTATTTTTCACTTTAATTACATTTAGTTTCTTATATATTTTACCATTTTACTATGAAAATTTCTAGCTTGTATTAAAATAATACATATTAAGCACAATGATCCTTCTGTCAGTCGCCCAGCTCCAGTAATTACCATCTTGAGCCAATATTGTTTCATGTCTGTGTCCATTCTGCTTGCCACTCCGGTCATAATATGAAACAAGCCTGAGGCATCATGTGTTCTTATCCTAAATACTTCAGTGTGAATCTCTAAAACACAAGAACTATTTACAAAATAACCACAACATCGTACAAAAATCACATTAAAGATCAACAATAATGCTTTTATATCACCTAACATTCAATGAATATTTGAGTTTTTAATTGCAATGTAAGTCTCATAAATTATATTTTGTAGTTTTTTAAATTCAGATATGTTTTACACGTTGTGGTTAGTTGATGCTTCTTTTAAAAGTAAGTTTTGGGTGCAGCATTGTAGCACAACAGGTTAAGTCACTGTTTGTAATGCTGGCATCCTCTGTCAGAGCACCAATTTGAGTTCTGGTTGCTCTGCTTCCAATCCAGCTCCCTGCTAAAGAGTCTGGGAAAACAGCAGAAGATGGTCAAGTTACTTGGGCCTCTGCCACCCATGAGAGACCAAGTTTGAATCCCAAGCTCCTGATGGCCTGGCCTGTTCCTGGCCATTGCAGCACTTTGGGGAATGAATAAGCAGATGGAAGAATGGAAGAGATTCTCTCTCTCTCTCTCTCTCTCTCTCTCTCTAATAAATAAGTAAATCTTTAAAAAATAATTTTTAATTATTCATGTGCTATTTGATAAATAATTTTAATTTTAATTTGGTTATGTCTATCCATTTCTTAATCACTAAGAATTTTTTTTTAAATCAAAACTAATTATAGTTTATCTAGTGTGACAGTCTCCTGGCTCAGAAAAGTCCTCTTTCGACTGAACCTAAGGCGACAAAACTCATTACCTACCTCTTCTCCAGCAGCGGCCAACAGCCACCGAATGGACTCCATTCTGCCCCTTCCATTGAAGTAGTGAAGCAGGGGCTTTCTTGCCATGATAGTAGTCTCCCGGTTTCTCTAAACAAGAATGAATGAATGAATGAAGCCCACAGACACAAAATGTATTCTAGTGTTATGGTTGAAATGGCACCAGGAATACAGCAGAAGTGTATCTGCCCTCTCCATTGCAGGGTTGGAGGAGTCTCGGGACCGTCTTACTTGACTCAAATTTTCACTCCTCATTGTCCATTATCATGAAATCGCACCAAGCCACTCTCATGCAGCCACTTGGCCAAACTCATTTCCAACTTGGATTTTTGTTGCACTGCATTTGTTTAAAAGCATTGACTGGGGCTTAGTTTTGCCATGACCATAGCCAAAGCATGCATTCTCCTTACAGAAAGTGCTCATTTCTCTTTCCTACAGGTCCCAGGAACCCATACACTAAAATTATGCTGGGTATATATGCTGGGACTTTAAGCAAGAGTCATGATTCTCTTGAAGAAGCAAGTCAGAGCAAGGTGAGAAGGCTACCAGGCTACGAGTACTGAGGACCCTGCCCTTTCTGCCCACGTAGCTCCTATGCACCAGAGTAGCTTCTAAATCTTGGGGTTTGGGGAACTTTTGTAGCCCACAATGTCTGCCTTCCTACTCTTAAGTTAGGGTTGCCCCCCAAAAGTTTTAAAGCACATCACAAAGTGCTTGTTCTCTATTACTATTTCGTGATCTTCTCCCTGGGGTGCTGTTGTTTTCTTTGCAAATTTCCTCTTGCCCTGCACAGTTCCAACACCAGTGGGACTTGTCCCAGGGTTCTGAGACTCTGCGGCTTTGCTGTGTAAGGCCTTTGCTTTCCATTTTTTTTTTTTTTTATGTTGACGATTATTCCAGAGCACAGCTGGTTCTCATGTTACATCCTAATGACAACTTCATGTGCCTTGTAAAAACCGATCACGCGGTCCACTGGAGTGTCTAGCTTTCCCCTCGGGACATCTCAAGTTACAGGGGGAACCTGAAACATCAGCCAGCCCTCCTTCCAAATTTGTGGTGAGTATGCTGAACAGGGAAGAGAGTGTTCACTTTGCCAGTGTCACAATCTGTTTGCACAGTATCTGCTCAACAGTAGAATCTAGTTCTGAGATTCAGACTAGTTCCTTCCTCTTGTTATTGTATTATTGAACTTTCACAGTCTGCAAAGGTTACCATTTTCACGTTTCTCTCCAGCTTTCTTGAGCCCCTCCACTAAATTGTGAGCTTCCAGGAGGCAGAGAAGTTGTCACACCTGTTGGCACCGTATCTGCTCAAATTTCAGCCCACAGTTCAAGAGTCACATATTTTTAAAGCATTTCCCTCATAGAGCTCACCATGTGAGAACACAGTAGTATGGAGTAACTAAATAAGTGAGGATGCAGTATTAAAACAGCCAATCCTGATATGCAACCTACTATTCTGCTTATTAATCCTGTTTTATACAAAAGCATCAAAGCAATAGAACTCTCCCAGGTGGCAGAAACATAACTATGAAAAAATGATAATAATGAGTAAGTGCTTTGGCAGAGTAGTCAAGGGGAATATTTAATTTGGCAAATGAAAAGAATTTGCAAGTCCTCTGGTAAACAGGACAGCTTAAGAGAGTGGCTTTATTGTTCTTAGTTTCCTATGCAGTAATCTCAGATCCACTTGCCGTACTATCTTAAAAGCCCTGTACATTTACATTCACTTGCAGTTTTGAGACTTTAAACACTGCCCATCCTATGGTCTCAGGAACACTGAAGGAGGAGAAAAAAAAAAAAAGGAAGGAGGAGGAGGACAAAGAGAAAAAATAAAAACAGGAAAAAAAGGAAGAGAAAGAGGGGAGATCAGGAGGAAAGACTGCTTGCTATTTGGTGCCCAGTTGCAAGGTAACTAATATGAACAATGAGCTGATGACCAATTATAGAATCATAAATGTAGATTCTTATTGGCAAGCATTGATGACTGATTTCCCAACTGGCAATGCCAGTTCAGGAAGCATGAGAGATATACAATTGCCCCAATACATTTTCTTTACACTGCTCAAGTGGGGCCCCCAGTGTGTGACCCTACCAGGTTTAAATCCAATATAGCGGCTATATTTGGTGTAGTGGTTAAAGTTGCCTCTTGGGACATTTGCATCCCATATTGGAGTGCCTGGTTTGAGTCCTGGCTTCTTTATTTCCAATCTAACATTCCTGCTAATGTGCACCCTGGGAGGCAGCAGAGTACTTTGATGGCCCAAAGTACTAGGGTAGATGACATCCTTATGGGAGACATACGTGGAGTTCTGTGTTTCTGGATTTGTCCTGGCCCAGCCCTGGCAGTTGAGGGCACCAGCAGATGGAAAAAAAGATTCTCTCTCTCTCTCTCTTCCTCTCTCTCTTTTTCTTCCTCTCCCTCCTCTGCCTTTCGAATTAAAAAAGAAAAAAAAAATACTTAAATCCAATATAACCATGTGTTGACCATGGACTGTACTAAAGCATTATTTTTAGTAGAGAAAACTTTAGTGTAAGGTCCTACACACTCCCAGTCCACATACCACTGTACTTTCAAATTGTCCCATAAAGATACCATTCTTATTTTTCTTATACCATCCAAGTCTCTGCATTCCTTTTCTAAACTCTTGAAGATACCATCACAGGAACTATTAAACAATGCTTGAGTTTTCTTCCTGAGTTGTCTACCAAGAACACAAAGAAAGCACAGAAGAACACACAGTACTCACAGAACACATTGAACAACATTTTCCTAGTAAAGCAGGACATGAGAACATTTATGAAGATTTATAAAGTCAGTACTAACCTAGTTAAAGTCCAGGCTGCTCAGCTCCCGACTGGGAACTTCTGACGCTATGTTAGCTGGTTTAATACCATGCTGAAAAACCTGGCCCCCACAAGGGGGTGGAGTTCAATAGGGAACAGCCCCTCCCACAGCTTACAAAATTCCAGAATGCAGCATCAGACCAGAAAGCAACTGGCAAATCAGGAATGCTTCGTTTCAATGTTGTCTCTAAATGCACAAATGAGGGAGGGATATCAGGTCAATCTGGCTGCCCTCTTAGGTTCCTGGGGCAAAGTTTCTTGAAGACTGTTTACTAGGATTTCAGTAAATGAGCCCATTTACTGTAGGTGAAAAAATTTTGTGGAGGGGAGAAAGTGTTATAGAGGGTAGTTCCAGGAAAGGAGACTTGAGGGAGAGAATAGGGAGATAGCACTCTCTAAGTGTTGGGGGGGCGGGGCGGGGAGGAAGGAAGGAAGGAAGGAAGGAAGGGAAGAAGGGAAGAAGGGAAGAAGGGAAGAAGGGAAGAAGGGAAGAAGGGAAGAAGGGAAGAAGGGAAGAAGGGAAGAAGGGAAGAAGGAAAGAAAGAAAGAAAGAAAGAAAGAAAGAAAGAAAGAAAGAAAGAAAGAAAGAAAGAAAGAAAGAAAGAAGAAACTTAAATTATGAATGTTACTGCAAAAATTCGGCAGACCCGAAGAATCTGACGGAGTTGTCCTAGCCCAGGGTGGGCAGATCTTATCTGGGATCATCTGCCCATTCTCTTCTTGGCTGCACTTCAGCCTTTCTCTCCAACACAAGCACAGAGAAGTTTTATCTGTTCAGAACACCTCTCTGTCCCCTACTGCCAGGTGCCCCGTGTTTCCTTGCTCACTCTACTCTTTCGAATCGATACCTTTAATATCTGCTTTCCCCCAGTGGCTGTGAGGGCCTCCGAGGTGGGGCTGCCCAATCCCCACGATTGACCACAGTGCCCCATGTGCATGGAAGGGGCCCAATAAATATATAAATTCTCTTTTTTTTCAATAGAGATTTTCTAACATATGTAAATGTAGAAAGAACAGGACACTGGGCTTGATGCACCCATTACTTGCTGCATCATTGGCTGATGATATAGCAAGTCTCAGCTTCGTTTCATCAATAAATAATTTGTATATCTCTTTAAATTTTTTGAAATTATGCACATTACATAAAAATTGCAAAAGTGGTATAGAGTTCCAAAATACCTTTCGCTCAGAGCTCTCTAATGTCAACGCCTTACATAATCACAGCACTGTTTACTGAAAAATCAGAGTCTGCTTGAAAAATCAAAGTTGAAGTTTATCCAACCAGTCAAATTGATGTTGACTCCAGTGCGGAACAGGCCTTTACCTTTTAGTTAAACTTGTTTCTAACTAATATGATTAAAGTTGTGGTAGAAGCCTTCCCATGAGCAGAAGAAGAAAAAGGGAGAAACTTGTCCTTGGAATGAAATGTGGCTGTCATTTGCTTGCCTGTGGAGTTGCTGTCTGCTTGGGTTTTTGCATGTTAGCACAGAGCAATGATATCAACCCTTGCTAGACAATGTACAGCACAGTAAGTGTGTAAAAGAAACATTATCAGTGAATATGTGTCCATGGGCAGTGTTGTATCAATTCCTGGGGCCACTATGTATCATTAGAATATCCAATCAAACGTACGCATGTAACCATAAAAGGAAGACAAAGAAGCTAAAATTATATATAAGGAAATACCCTTTATTTTGGGCTCAGGCTTTTGGATAAAAAAAATCCACCTTTGTCTTATGCCTGCATAAATAACAAAAGACTACTTCCTGTTAAAAGGCCTTGGTGTCTTGTCTCTGAACACGAATCCTGCCACACCAAGACAACCAATCAGTTGCCTGAGTTGGCTGTTTCAGGATCCTGAGTTTGGTTACAGATTTATACTTTTCTTACAGAGTGCGTGCATGCATTGGGTCAGGCTTCAACCAATGCAGATTTGTGTGTGGTTATCCATCTCGTTGAAAATCAAAGACTAACTCATTGAAAAGAGAAGAGCACATGGGTACAACTAACAGATTGATTATTGATTAAGGAAGTACATTCTATTCCCATACTAATTTCCACTTGAGATGTTATCTACATGGGGCTAACAACTGGGTCATTAATCTGCAATGGCCCTAGGTGGAAAGCTTCCTTTTTCTTAAGGTACAGAGATCTTTTCTTACCCATGGCTGAGTTTCTTGGGTCATGATTGAGGACCTTTGGAAGGTGCTGTGCCCTGGAAACCAGCTGCAGGATGTCTTCCTTGTCCATGACTCACTTAGACCTCTGTAGTCACCATTGCAGTCCAGAGTACAGTGGTCAAAACCCAGAATTTCCAGATCTTACTTGGATTTCACCAGTTTTTCCTTTGGTTTTTTTTTTTTTTTTGAACATTTATTTATTTATGTGAAAGGCAGAGTGACAGAGAGAGAGAGAAGGAGAGACATGGAGAAAGAGATCTTCCATCTGCTGGTTCACTCCCCAAATAACTGCAATGGCCAGGGCTGGGCTGGGCTGAAGCCAAGGGCCAGGAACTCCACCCTGGTCTCCCAAATGGATAGCAGGGATCCAAGTACTTGAGCCATCATCTGCTGCTTTCCCAGGCACATTAGCAGGGAGCTGGATCAGAAGCAAAGCAGCTGGAACTCAGACCCAGTGCTCCTATATAGGATGTGAGTGTCACAAGAGGCAGCTTAACCCACTGTGCCACAATACTGGCCCGAAGGATTTCAGCAGTTGTTCAACCAAAGTCCTTTCTCTAGACCAGGATTCCATGGAGGACTCTGCACTGTGTCAGATCCCCTGAGTCTCCTCCAGTCCATCACTCTTTCCCAGTCATTCCTCCTCTCTCATGATCTCAGCACTTCTGAAGAGTACTGGTCAGTTATTTTGTGCAATGTATTTCCATTTGATTCAATTGAGGTTCGGGGGGGAGGGGGGCTTTGTTTTGTTTTTGCAAAACATTACAAAAGTTTTGCTAGTCCCTTCTTAGTGTATCATTTCCAGACTGGTAACTGAAAGTCAGAGTCTGATTGTGATTTCAATACAAGGTTTTTTACTCAGTCATAATGGAAATTCACAAGCAGTCACTGTTCAGCCCAGATGAGGTTCATTGGGTTGATTTCTTAGGCACATGGGAGACAGCATGGCAGGCAATTAGCTCCCCAAAGGGAGCTTAACAAGGGTTCTATCAGCCTGGGTGTGTGTGGCTATACCCCTTTTTCAACGCCAGCTCTTCCTCAACTCACAGCACTTCAGTTTGTACCTGGCTCCGTGTTCTGTGCAGGTGTGGTGGTTTCTTTTGCACAAGGCATGCTCAACATAGTTGTATTCTTCACTACCACCTTCCCAGGAAGGCCATATATTGGTTATACTGGGCATGCACAAAGTTGGGGAAGTCCCTAACTGAGCAGTAGGGAGACTTTTATGGTTTAGGTCTGGGTACTCCCTGCTCCCGATTGATTTGGAGCTCAGTGGGGTGACTTGTGGTGGGAAAAGGATACAAGTCTGGAGCTGGATACATGGCTGTGATGGGAAGGAGCTGACTTAGTGAATCCTGTTTCCAGCCTGTCTCAATAGGTGAATCAGAGTTAAAGTTCATTCAGCTAGTCAAACAGGATTAGAACCCGGAAGCAGTCTAAACGGGCTGTTTTGCAAGCTTTCTGTTGGTTACAGGCTTTATACTTTTCTTTTATGGGTCTATGTATTGAGTCAAGTTTAAACAAAACAGATTTACATGAGGTTGTCAATCACATTAAAACTCAAGGAGGATGCCTGGTAATAGCTACGGTCTCCATTATTGATCAAGGAGGTACATTACACTCCAAAATTGCCTATAGTTAGGAAGAGGAAAACAGTGCGATCATTAATTATTCAGACAATGGAATCATTCATCGTTTTCCCTATGGTGGTCCTAAAACCTAAAGCTTACTTCCTCTCAAGGCACAGTAGATATTTCCTGGGCCACAGAGTCTGTCAACATTGTTACAGGGTGCTGCCCACCACCCAGGCAGTGCTCCATGAAGTCGATTCCAGAGTCTTGGCTTCAGCCCAGCACTGTAAGATGGACTTTTACCTCTGGGTTTCCAGTATAAGGACCTCTTGCTCCTGAAGTGGGCTTCTTCAGAACTCAATGTGCTCAACTTGCAGTGTTGCATGGTGTCTTTGGCCCTGCCAGTTAGCTTTCCTTCTTTTATACTTGCCTAGGTTGCTTCAAAGGTGGTTCTCTGCCCTGGCTTCCCTCTGTACAGGCACAGCCATGTCTTAAACAGCAGGGACTAACGTAATACTCTCAGACCCATTGTTGGGTCTGAGACAGGAAAACATTCAGGGAAAGAACTGGGAAGCACAAGATGTTTTCATGTTTGGGGTGTCTGTCAAGGTGGAGATGTATTAAGATGGCAGCCTGATACCAAAATGTTACACTGGATCTGTGGCAGTCTTGCTGATTTGACTGCAAGGCATCTGCACACACAGATGTATCCTACTGACTTGTGCCTCAGCAGCCACCACTCCACTCTTAAGTCCACGATATCACACCCAAGATGTTATGTGTCATATTAATGGCCAAGTTAATGTGGATCTCTTGATGAAAATCATACCTGCCAGATTTGGCATCTGCAGTGTTACATATTTACCCTTTTGGGATGAACAACTTTCTTGTGGGAAATACTTTGTTACTATGCAAATATTCTGTTTCTAAGTAAGTTTCCTCTCAAGAAATTCAGTTATCTTACCTACAGGAAATATTGCTACAGTGTTTGTCTGATAGTGATTTTCCTTTTATTTTAAATTTTATTAATTATTTTTTATTTATTTGAGAAGCAGAAGAGCCAAACAAACAGCCCTCCTATCCACTGGTTCATTCCCCAAATGCCACATGGCTAACGGCTGAGGTTGGATACCATCAATTTAGTCCTGGTCTCCCAGGTGGGTGTCAGGAACCGAATTACTTGAGTCATCACCATTGCCTCTCAGTGATCGGAAGCTGATGTCAAAAACCACAGCTAGG